TCTATACATCATCTCAGCAAGACATCCGCGATTAAGTACTCATTTTTCTCAATATCCCCTTGATGTCTTGGTGTCAACTTGACCACATGACTTCTAAGGGCTCGCTTTGGATTGGTCCGAGCTCGCCTCAGGGGGGACCTTTCCACCAATCAAAACGAGGTTTTTGTGGGACAGCTGGTCGAGCGCGCACGCTGATTGGTGGAGAAAAGTTTGCGAACTATTATAACAGCGCATAGGGACGGAGTGTGTTAGAAGTTGTTGAGACGTGACCGTATATGCAGCAGCTCGTGGCGGATGGTTAACGATGAATTCTCCTAAGGGACCCGTTGAAACGACATCTCAAGAAAAGTCTGAGTCGGACAGCGAGGAAAGTCAAAAGCCGAGAGATATGACCGCTGACACAGGACATAAAGCCAAGAAGACTTACCTCCCGTTCAGTGTTGAATCCCTGATGGCCAAATCCAGCTGCCAGCAGGTCGCGTGTTCTCCGGCTCTCCAGCATCAGAGAATGGGACATGGTCAGGACTTAGTAAGGACTTACTTTGTAGAGAAAGCCAAAGTTTCTGTGGACACTTTGTCGAGCGTTTCGGACAGTCTAAACGACGACAGTGAAGAACTAAGCGATAAGGAACAGAGCACTTGGTCAAACTCTTCATCTTTCACATCTCCTCCTCGTAAGTATAGCTTATATCTACCATTCATTAAGGTGTTTTTGATTATGAGTATATATATTTAAAAAAAAAAACTGTTTTAATAGCTAACAATCTGACTAAAAGCATATTTATACTTTTGACAATTTGTCTCATGTGTTGATAAACACGTGGATACAGCATTTAGATTTATTATAAACTTTTTATAAAATAATGTTTTAAAATATTTTAGTAAATTATAATTTATTATAATTTACTTTAGATGAATTAATTATTATTAGCTAAATGTAAAGAGGAGGAACAAAGGCTTGCACAGCAACTAAAGAAGGTTAAAATTTGTAAAACTGCTCAGATGATTTTTGTTTTTATGATGATAATTAAAATAAATAATAATAATAATAATTAAAACATTTAACCAGCATAGCATTTTAAGAGATTACACTAGTAAATAGAATTTACTGAAAACAACAACTATTAATTAAATCTTACACAATTGTAATAATAACTAGTAATTAAATAGTATTTTAATATTTTATTTCACTCTTAATATAGTTTTGTTGGGCTAATTGGAAAAGTTGCAACTAACATTTTGTTCAGTTCTGAAAGAAAGAAAGAAAGAAAGAAAGAAAGAAAGAAAGAAAGAAAGAAAGAAATGGGATTGTAAAATGCACAATGAGAAAGAAATAATAAATAGCTTATACAACAGTTGCAAACCCAAGTCTGAAAAGAAAGACAAAAATAGAAACTCTAATGCAAAAGAAATGTATTTGTTGTAGCGTGTAACAAAAACAACAACAACAATAATAATAATAATAATAATAATAATAATAATAATAATAATAATAGGCCTATACACAACCAGAAAAGTTGCATGCCCAAGTTTTCATTTTTTAAAGAACTAACGAAACTAAGCAAGAAAGACTCTAAAAATGCACAATGAAGGTAGGCTGCTGGTTATTTGGAGAGGTTTTCTCATTTCTAAGTTAAAAACAGTTTGTTGGTCGTTTCGTCCAGGTCACCCGAGCCCAACGCCGTGCACCTTACGCAAGCACAAGACGAACAGGAAGCCGCGCACACCGTTCAGCACCTCCCAGCTGCTGTCGCTCGAGCGCAAGTTCAGACAGAAACAGTACCTCTCTATCGCCGAACGGGCCGAGTTCTCCAACTCCCTCAACCTCACCGAGACTCAGGTCAAGATCTGGTTCCAGAACAGGAGGGCGAAAGCCAAGAGACTCCAGGAGGCCGAGCTGGAAAAGTTCAAATGCGCGTCCAAACCGCTTCTGGCCCCGTTCGCGCTGCCGTTCCCTCTGGGATCTCCATCATCTCTATACGGACCTCCTGCCTCGTTCCCACGACCCGTCCCGATGCCAGGACTATTTAACGGACCCGTGTCCTATGGGATGTATTATTTGTCTTAAAAACTTTTTTATTCCACTCTGAAATTATTTGAGAGACGTTTACATAAGTCACAGGGAAAGTTATATATATGAGCTATAATTGCACTATTAAGTGCTGAATAATACTAACGAACAACATGTACTTTTGTTATTATTCTGAGGAACCGCTTTTAATTACAGACAGTAGTAAATAATAAGTGTTGGCTAGAATCGTCATGGATTGATTCGGTAATGTCACATTTAGACCTACCCAGTTCCACAAACCCATAAGAAATCCTGGAAGCGAGCTTCTGAATTTGTGTCGAGTTTTATTCTTTGTGTTGTATACTGACGTGCTCTTGTAGAGCAGGTATAGATGTTTAACTCTTTTACGATCATCTGACACGGAGGTTATCCGTCAGATAAGTACTTATTGGCCTTATGTTGGAAGTGCCTTGAAAGACCAAATATTTATTAGTCTAAAATAAAAATAAAATATTCTTTCTTAAGTTTAACCTTTTCCCTTTTGTTTATTTTGTCATATTATCTGACAACAATTTATTTGTTTTGGCAGAAATTAAACAATGTTTTCTGTGAAAAAAACATTTTAATATTTTTTTTTTAGAATGGGAACATCAGTGAAAAAAAATAATAATCAAGAAAAATGTTTCATCACACTCAAAAAAAAATTATTTTCTTTTTAGTGTGATGCAACATTTTTCTTGATTCTGTAATTTGACGGTGTTTGTTTACATCGTCAAAACTCCGTCTCCATATCGTAAATTTAATGTGCATTTTCAAACTTTACAATGAGATTAATTTTATGATAAATAAATAGTCATTATTCAACTTTTTGGGGTTTATAAACCACCAAAAATATACGCGGCCATAAGTACTGAAATTTAAAACGAACTTCTGCTGAGAAAAAAAACAATAAAGAAAAATCACAGAAATAACATTAAATATTATAAATCAACAAATTCTAAGTGTGCAAAAAAATGCATTTTAATGGTTTGGTGTCTTTGAACATACTATTCCATTTATTGGTTTAAACGCCATGAGAGACGGAAAAAATACCCAAAGCCCCAAATGAACATTATAATTTAGCTACATTAAAACCAATACAATTTACAATGTAATTTACAGCCTATAAATTTATAACAAATTATAATAGTTCTGTTTTGTCAAAGAGACAAATGAGTGATCTATAGTTTTGTTAGTTGTTGTTGGCAATTAGTTGTTCTCATTAGCTAGTTGAACACAAGTTGACAACCCATGTTTGCTTAATTTGTTTGATCCTTTACTGCAAAATTACAGAGGAAATTACTTATAATAACAATAGTCATATTTGCGTGTTCACACTGCAACACAGCTGTTAATGCTCTATTATATCTTTTATTGAATAACATTTTATTTTAAACTGAGAAAAATAATGAACAAAACTGTAGTTAAACTTGCTTATTGTCCAATAGATGGCGCCATCATAAACTCTTCAACAAATTATCACTATCTGTTTGGAAGCATAAAAGTTTAAAATTAACTATTTATTTGAACTCAAGTTTTTAGGTGACACGTGTATAGTTAACTACACCTTTATTTGTAAGCATTAAACACGGAAAAATCCTGAAGATTTAATTATTTATTTCAAAGCAGTCCGTTTCACCGCACTAAAATATGCCTCCATCACAAGCATTGGCCACCGGGACCCTTCTCAACATCTGCAGCCGTCAGTGGGTCGCATAAAAGCACCTAAATGACAAGGATAAGCAGCAAAAAAACGTGTGCCTTAGGCTGGATGTCAATTTTCGGTTCTCAGATGGTCTTTATTACACATCATTAGCCACAAAATGAAATCTTAAATGATCTCTTAATCGTTTGTTCACAAAGTTCAGACATCTGATTTTAGAAAAGATTATGAAGCGGATTAAGAGCGGTTATTAAAGGACGGCGATATGGATTTTTATTGGTCACTTTAATTCTCGAACTATTTGTTGACTACCATTCTTTACATCCAAATGTTACTGAGAAATAAATACAAGGGTTTGGAAGGCCATAAGAAGTACTTCACAGACGACAAAATACACTCTTAAAAAGTAATTTTTTAACGCATTTCTTCGGATTACTTGAGTTTAGTAACGGAATACAAATGGCATAAAATAACTCTTTGAATTGTACGATTGTATTAAATTGTACTTAATTAAACCTAACATAGCCTATATTCACTTATGAAGTGGTATTACTTAATTAAATTGAATTATGATTTTCAATGTATTGACACTTTCAAATTGCATGTTAATGGGACAATGATGTTGAAAATGCTAGTCAGCAAACAAAATGACATTTATTGACTTTTTATTATAGTTAGATGTGGGTCAGGGTTGGTTTGTAATACTTCTAATAAATTAGTAAATTACAAGTTTTCTTTTTCAATTATTATTTTTTTTCTCCATGCAATCCAGTTGCATTATGTGACCTTAATCTTTATGTGAAATAACAGTTAAAATTTCAGCAGTGACGTTAATTCACATTTTAGTAGTTTGAAAAACAACAAAAGTACATTGTAAAATATATATGATCAATTAGTCCTGAGAGCATATTAAACTAAGTTATCCATGTTCTAACTTTTATAAGTTAGGCAAGCTGTTTCAAGTCAGTTTAACATAATATAAGTTTAATGGACTCATAAAAATTATATATATATATATATATATATATATATATATATATATATATATATATATATATATATATATATATATATATATATATATCTTTTTTTTATATATATATATATATTATATATATATATGCTCTCAGGACTAATTGATCATATATATTTTACAATGTACTTTTGTTGTTTTTCAAACTACTAAAATGTGAATTAACGTCACTGCTGAAATTTTAACTGTTATTTCACATCAAGATTAAGGTCACATAATGCAACTGGATTGCATGGAGAAAAAAAATAATAATTGAAAAAAAACTTGTAATTTACTAATTTATTTAACACATTTTCACAATATAACTGCCATTCGAGTACCACCTTTTTAAAATGTTATGAAATACAGTTTGTGTATGTGTGTGTGAAGGCCTCATTGTTTGTTAGGTTTTTCTGTTGCAGTGATTAACTATTTGCTACACTTAATTTAATAGCATTTCACCGCTTGCAAAACCTACAGAAAGGCAGGACTGAGTTGATAAATATTTCTGATTATATGATGACAGGATGTGTTGCTCAGTTGCAGAGGTCAGTGTTGCAGCATGTAGCATTGACATCTTCATTCAACGTATAGATCAAGCAGAACGATCTAGTCATACAGGAACGGATGGAGGCGGAACCTGCAGAAACCAATGATTAAAATTGAATTAGATACAATATAGTTGAAGTCAAAAATAATGTTTAACAGAGCAATACTTTTTTCACAGTATTTCCTGTAATATTCTTTTCTGGAGAAAGTCTTATTTGTTTTATTTTGGCTAGAATAAAAGCAGTTTTACATTTTTTTAAAACAATTTTAAGTTCAATATTGTTAGCCCACTTAAACAATATTATTTTTCGATAGTCTACAGAACAAACCATCGATAAACAACGACTTACATAATTGCCATAACTTGCCAAGTTATCCCAAGTAACCTAGTTAAGCCTTTAAATGTCACTTTAAGCTATATAGAAGTGTCTTGAAAAATATCCAGTCAAATATTATTTACTGTCATCATGGCAAAGATAAAATAAATAAGTTATTAGAAATGAGTTATTAAAACTGTTATGTTTAGAAATGTGTTGAACAAAATTTGCTTTCTGTTAAACAGAAATTGGGGAAAAAATATAAGAGGCTTATAATTCTAACTTTCAATGTATATTATGAATTTACCCAGTATTTGAGGCCTAAGTTGGATGTGTGTGCAGACATCGAAGCTTCCAAAACACGTCTGCACTGATGGAGTACATTGGAGGCTGGTCCCTTTGGAAATACACAGGTTACACTTCAACGCCATTACAGTGTACGATACACGAGCAAGATCTGAGTCAGGAAAAGAGAGAAAAAAACATTCATAAAGCATAGTCAGTGATTTCACCAGAGAGAACATGTTCCTGGACCAACATCTACACTCGCCAGCCAATTTATTAGGTTCACCTCACTAGTATTAGGTTAGACCCACTGTTTTCTTTAGATCTGCCTTAATCCTTCGTGGTATAGATTCAACAAGGTACTGAAAAAATATATATTTGATCCATATTGACATGATAGCATCACGTAGTTACTACATAGTTGGCTGCCCATCCATGATGCGAATCTCCTATTCCACCACATCACAGAAGTGCCCTACTGGATTGAGATACGGTGACTGTGGAGGCCATTTGATTACAGTGAACTCATTGTCAAGTTCAAGAAACCAGTCTTAGATGATTCACGCTTTATGACATGGCGGGTTATCCTGCTGGAAGCAGCCATGAGAAGATGGGTACACTGTGGTCATAAAGTGTGGTACACTGTTGCCTTTCTATCAGCTCGAACCAGTCTGGCCATTCTCCTCTGACCTCTAGCATTAACAAGGCATTTGCGCCCACAGAACTGCCGCTCACTGGATATTTTCTCTCTTTCAGACCATTCTCTGCAAACCTTACAGATGGTTGTGCGTGAAAATCCCAGTAGATCAACAGTTTCTGAAATACTTGGACCAGCCCGTCTGGCACCAACAACCATGCCACGTTCAAACTCACTTAAATCACCTTTAATCCACATTCTGATGCTCAGAGCAGATCATCTTGACCATGTCATGCCTAAATCCATTGAGTTGCTACAATGCGATTGGCTGATTAGAAATTTGCATTAGCAAGCAGTTGGACAGATGTACCTAATAAAGTGGCCGTGTATATTGAGTGTATGTTGATACTGATAACATTCCAATCAGCCGGTCAAAATTAACGAATTTTGAAAAAGTTTACATCTTATGTTAAGTTTGGGCTTAGAGTTAGGGTTATGTACTTCTGATTGTAACCATTATTCCTCTCTGATTTTGGGAATAATTTACAGTTATGGCTGGGGTTAGGGGGGTAGGGATGGATTACATTTTTGAGCAAAAATGAGATTACATGACATGTTAATACTGGATCACACCCACCCATAAAGCGCTGGTGTTACAAAAAGAAAACATTGCATACACATCAAAAACAGCACTCAAAAGTCTGCTGCTTGTTCAAACTACTTTTTTAAAATTATTTGAATCAGCCCACTTATGTTGTTTTTGGGACAACTTAATTGTTTTATGTTCAATGCACTTAAATAAAAAACAATAATAATATTATTTTAGAAAATATTATTTTCACCTTTATTGAAAGGACAGTGGAGATTTACATAGAGGAAAGTATGGGGAGCAGAGATAGGGGAAGGAATCAGCAAAGGACCTCGAGCTGGGAATCGAACTCAGGTCATCACAAGCAACTGGATGCTTTTGGCGCCGACCAATCAACTTATATTTGTAAAAATGATGTCCTGTACATCTTTTTTCAACTCAAGCAGAGTTGTCATGCTTTGCCTGCACTGTAAAACAGCTGGAGTTTAACTGTGGCTGAGGAAGCCAAGTGTTTCTTATACTCAAGGACATCCACGTCCTGAGGAAGAAACTCTTTGTTATTAAAGGGGAACTATTTGCTCTTTTTTTATAAGTCGAAATATAAGTGTCCCTATAATGTTCCTGTAAAGCAGGGGTGCTCAATCCTGTTCCTGGAGATCTACCTTCCTGTACAGTTTAGCTCCTACCCTGATCAAACCCGGCTGAACTAATTAATTAGGACCTGAAATCCACTTGATAATTACAGACAGGTGTGTTTGATAAGGGTTGCAACTGAAATCTGCAGGAAGGTAGATCTCCAGGAACAGGATTAGCCACCCCTGCTGTAGAGCGTCAACTCCAAATACTCCACACACTATTTAGTATACCACTTATTTAGATGGACAATTTTAAATGGAAGCAAGACATGGCATTTTCATGTGCGTCTCTTTAAATGCAAATGAACTTCTGCAAAAGAAGGTGGAGTCTCTACAGCACTTGTCTCAGATATTTACCAACACCTTAGTTTGACTTTGATTATCACGTCTGTGTCATGTGAAGTTCTTCCTCAATGTAAATCTATTATCTACATGCTTTTTAAAAGCCTTGTCAGATTAAGTGAAGTTTAAATTTAAACTAATTTCAAGAGGAGCACATGCTCATGATTGACCCAGCTGACCCACATTAGCCAATCATGATCCTCCAATCAAAGAATCCCAAGTCACTATATAAATATCCTCATTTCCTTTCTACGACTATCTTCATCTGGAAGAAACCCCCCTCCTCCCTTCTTCCACCTTTATCCAGAATGGGTGGCACGGTGGCCCAGTGACTAGCACTGTTGCCTCACAGCAAGAATACCAATGGTGTTGAGTCCTCGCTGGGTTGGTATTTCTGTGCAGAGTTTGCATGTACTCCCCGTGTTCCACTGGTTTGCCTGGTTTCCTCCCACCATACAGAAGTTCACCTTTGCCTCAGCAGCAGGGAAGTTTGAAGATCGACCTGAACTCAATCTCCCCTCGCCCTGCGAAGGGGGGGCTGGGCACAAGGATCCCTTGAGCTCAGGGCTCTCTCCCGGGACAGCAATCCAAACAAGCTATATAAATCATGAGCTAAGTGTGAACTCTTGAAACTCCTGTTGCATGGTTTTCTGGCGACACTAGATGTGGCATATACTGACCAACATGACAAACTATTTACAATGGGCATCTTATGCATTTAGTAACTAATATTTGCTGGTATGCTTAAATAAAATGAAGAAAAGAAACACTTAGCCCCAAACAAACTTCCAAAATCAATGTCTCAGAATGCCCATAAGATTGGTTTAGGCCATCTAGACAAGAATTATGCTTGATAATTGTAACGCAGCATATTTTACAATGAATGCTTGGTTGTTTTTAACTCAGTTTTTCGATTGAGAATTTGGGTTTGTGCATGCATATTTAACCCAAAATTGCTAAGAAACAGCACTGTATGAGATTCTAATATGTAATTCTAACCTATTTTTATGGACCTAATATGTTTGTGAAAGTTGAATCAGGTTCAGTAATTGATTGAGAAGTGAGAAATGAAAAAGACTTACCATGAGTAAAAATCACCAGGATGCAAACAGCACAAAGTTTCTTCATTTCTCTTGTATGTCTGGCATAAAATAATAAATGTAACACTGGTTTAGATTTGATCAACCTAAGAAAAATAGGCTTATATATGTTAGTCTTACCAATAAGCTGATGGCCGTTTCTCACCTTGTAGATGGACACAAGTGGACTGATAAACTTTTAAACAGTCAGTGGGAGGTTTCTCGAAATGTGCGTCATCCACAGTCTTTCCTAATGTGATCATTAAATGGGAAATTAATGTGTAACAATATAAATTATAAAATATTTAAATTACCATGTAAATAGAGAGCTATAAGAAACCACTTGGCAATTGTTAGTTTCTTTGGATTAGTAGTTGAGTAAAATGTCAAAATATATTACTCAATGAATGCATCAATACATTTCTGTTAGTAAATTATAGCTTCTTTTCCTCAGAAAATGAGAATTAAACAGAACATAAGCAATGTTTTGTTGTGATTTGTTGTAATTGAAAGTTATAGTTATTCCACCAAATATAAATTATTAAAAGTTATCAAAAGTTTTTTTTAAATGGTGCTTGGTCAAAATATTAGTATAAATCATAAAAGCTCTTGATATAACTTTTTCATTTTTTTTCTTTAATTTTTTTCAAGAAAAATGCTGTAAAGGACAAAATTTTTATTCCGAAAAATAGCAAAAAGCCAAACAAACTACTAACGGTAGAAATCAAAGTAAAGCTTAAAACACAAACATATCTAAACATGAATGAAATTAGATTTTTATTAGTACTTTCTTTTAGCAAAGCTCTAATTTGTGCTGTATTCATTATCAAAATCAGCTCTTTTCTTGCTGAGTTAGGCTTGTATGATCTGAACACTGTGGACTATTGTTTTTTTACACTGTTACTTTTTACTCTAAGAATTAATAATGATTTGCAACATTTGTGCAGCAGCAGTGTGATGCCTGTTGGTTATCTGTGAAACAGCACAAAGGCTTTATTCAGTGATGATACATGGTAAACTAAGACTGGTGTCTTGAATTTTATCATTGAACAGCCAAGGTCATGGAGAGGCAGCTTTTAAATACAGCAACACTTGTAGGCCTACTATTGTCATTATATTGAATAACCAACAATACTTTTTACTTTTATTTTAAATAAAGTTGGTGAGAAATTGAGTATTTGTGAGTTCACTCAAAATGTATACACTCAACAGGTAAAGTCTAGAAGGGATATGTGAATACACACATCAATAAGCCTATAGCATAAATTTTGTGACAACTATAATTACAACTTTTATGTTAGGTAGGTTTACGGCTATTGTAGGAGTAGACATTAATAAAAGACAATTCAACAGGTAATTTAATAATGTAAAAAAATTCTCATTAACATTAATAGACAATGACTAAAGACAAAGTCCGTTTAATAACGAATGTTATAGTCTTTGCAATAAAATACACTAGACTTTGATCACTTCTAGCAACAATCACGGCTGTAGATTACCCATAACACACTCCGAGACATTTCGCGCCTACTGAGTTCCCGCGTCTGACCACAAGATGGCGTTCAATTTCACAGTGGATTCCCATCAAGTATCGGCGTAAGTTTCTAAATAAACTATTATTTAATTGTTTAATTAATGTTTCTGTTCGTGACAGAAATCAATATCGTTACTAACTCGATAACTCGATAAGTGTTAACCGTCTGACCAAGACGTTGAATATCTGAGGGGTTTATCAAACCAGCAAAACAAAACAACATCCCCTTCATTGCACCGCGTGCTAAAATTCACTCACTCGTTTTAATTCTCTACTAAGTGAACTATATTAGTGGACTAATGTCAGGAATGGTCAATGAGAGAGTATAAGAGTGTGATTAAAAACCTTTCATCTTTGCTTCAACCCTTGTGTGCTGTTGGGGATGTTTTCATCCACTTTTGGGTGATTTTGAGGCTTAATTTGGCCACAACTTTCTGTTTCAGCTAGCAGAATGGTTTTTAGTGACAAATCTTATTTTGACACATATTTTGAGAAAATGCTTTGAAAACCTCAACAATACACTCTGTGCAAATGTACTTGTTTTTCCTGTTATAATAGTTGAGTTAAAATACCTTATAACCCATCTATAGGTTAGCCTATTATAGCCCCTTCCCAACTATGGGTTATTTTAACCCAATGCATTGAGTTATATAATTTATCCCAATGCATTGGGTTATTTTGATTAAATGTTATTTTTTCGATTCTGGTACTACTACTATTAATACTGTAATTATGACTGTGTAAATAGATAAATGTCTCTGTTGTGTCCTAAGGGTGAGAATGACGGCTGTATCATCTCTTCAAAAAAAAAAAAAAAAACTGTAGAGATGAACTCATGAAGTACATCCATTTAATATATTATTAATATAGATAGTGTGCGTTTGCATCATCATCAAAAAGTGCTGGTGAAAATGATATAAACACGACACAGAGAGGTAATTTGATTAAAAAAAAACAATATTATTTTGCTAGAGCTTAAACTTTAAATGAAAAAACAAAATTATGCACCATATTAATACAGCAGTTCTCTGTCAGTTAAATCAGTTGACTGTTGAAATGCAAAATTTTAACCCAACTGGTTGAGTTAAAATATGAATAACATAATAAAGGTTATAAATAACCCAACAAAGTACCAAATATTTAACTTAACTGGTTGAATTATTAATAAATAACCTAATAAAGGATAACAATAACATAACAAAGCACAGTATATGTTTAACTCAACCATGGGGTTGAATAAATAACTCAACGTTTTTATTGTGTATGTTACGGATGAAAACATCCACTGAATTTAACTGCTGTAAAATGCTTAAAATAAATATTTTTTTCTATTTGTTTTTAGCATAAACCTTTTAATCAACCTCAGTCCTGATCAAAACTACTGAATTGCATAGAAAATTGCAGAATTTTAACTCTTTAATTGCCAAATTCATAAATGATGTCAGTGATTTATTGAAAAAAAAAACACACACACAAAATGACGTATTTTAAATATAAAAAGTTATGGACTGGATGTTTTCTTACCTTTTATCAAAGTCTACCTGAGCACTGAATGCTAATTTAGTCAAAAAAAATTGTTTAGTTAAAACAAAGCATCAAATTGAACTTTTCAGATAGATATTGTTCAATCCTGACCACATCAACTTGATCAATTCATTGAATTGCTGCCATGTCATTGGCTGATTACGCTCTTTGTTTTAAGAAGCAATCCAACAGGTGTAATTAATAAAATGGCCAGTGAGTGTTTTAGGAAAATTGTATGACTATTTTTTTTTTTAATCATTGACCAAATTAACAAGGGTTATGTTCATATTTTGAACCCTTTCCAAATATCTTTTGTGTTTCACAAATACAATTCATACATGACTGAAAGAGTGAAAGTTTTCATTAATTCATAATATATGAGATATTTAGCAATAAAAAGAGAGCCAACAGCGTGGTAAGAGTGAGGCTAACCTACGCTTTATTTAATGCAGTACAGTATCAGGTGACTTCTCTAAACCAGAACACGGAGGACAGAAAACACACACCAGTATGAACAAGAAGAGACGCTCAGCATCCTGTCACAGGTGGGTAACAAATAATAAAAAAATCTGATTCAGTGGCTGTTGACTGAAGAATAGCACTTTATATATGTGCAAGGATGTGCTTAAAAAAAGTTTATGAACATTAAAAAAAAAAGATTGTAGTGCTACATAACATCGCTCCCTTTAAGTGCTGCTGAAAGCATTTTACAACACCTCAATCACAAATCAAAAATATATTATTGCAACTAATTAATACTGAAAATACATGATTAACATGAGCATTTCATAACCATAAAAAAACTCTGTTATCAAAAATTAAAGTAGGAATTCCTCCAACAGGAGATTAAGTTAAAAGTATAAAAAAGGAAAATAATATTAATAATAAACAAGAAACTCTGTAAAATGTATTTTCCCTGCTGTGAGAGTGAAGTAATCTGAACAAGAGCTCAAAAGATGACATTTCTGAAGGCGAAATGCATATATTATTTAATCAAATGATTACTGTAATTATCTGTAAGGTAATGATATTATATTTTGAGTGATGGAGGACTGTCGTTAAATTAAAAGAAGTAAATAAATATAAAAATACAGGAGTTATTGTGCCAGTTAACAACAGAACAGTTCACCAAAAAATAAATAAATACAAATTAAAATTGTCATAATTTAATCACTTTCATAATGTTTTAAGCTTGTACTTTGAAAAGTGTATATATAGTATTGAGTTCTGTAATAATTGTCACATTATATCAGCGATGCCTTACCAAGTGTCAAAAATATTATTTTTGTATGTTATGAATTATACTGTATAGGAACATGTTTCATTTTCATTTATTTTCTTTTCAGCTTAGTCCCTTTATTAATCCGGGGTCGCCACAGTGAAATGAACCGCCAACTTATCCAGCATATGTTTTATGCAGCGGATGCCCTTCCAGCTGCAACCCATCACTGGAAAACATCCATACACACTCATTCACAAACATACACTATGGGCAATTTAGCTTACCCAATTCACCTACACCACATGTTTTTGGGCTTGTGGGGAAAACTGCAGCACCCGGAGGAAACCCAAAGGGAGAACATGCAAACTCCACACAGAAAAGCCAACTGACCCAGCCGAGGCTGGAACTAGCAACCTTGTTGCTGTGGGGTGATCGTGCTACCCCGTATTTAATATTATTGTTGTTCATACATAATGAATCAAACAATTATAATGCAAAAATTAAGCCCCGGTCATTACACGTTTTTTTTGTCGGTTACGAAAGTCACTATGTCAGATTATGCCATTTTTTTCTTGATAAAATCGTGACTTGTCGTGGGAAGCAAATGTGCCAGACTACACGTTCCTTCACGATCAGTCATCCTGTGACGTCTACGAGTGTTATTTCCCAAAGCAGTCACATTGCTGTAACAATATTTATAATCTCATTTACAATTCGTTTGTTTTTTTAAATCTTATTTTAATCTCAATAAACACTGATGCTTGCAGACAACCAATAACCAGGCTACATTATTTAAGGGTGCTCATTAGGATAGGATCACACTTATAATTCTTTTTTAACAGGGGCGTAGCCGGTGCCTAAAACAAATATATATATATATATATATATATATATATATATATATATATATATATATATATATATATATAGCGAGAAAGAGGGAGAGATGCGCTTACAGCCTGTTAGTTATGAAATGTATTAATTATGGAATAATTTCTTCAGAGAAATTAAATTAAATATAAAAAGGCAAGTAATAATGTCCTTGTGTGTTACATCCAAAATCCTTATATTTTGAGTTTAGAGTTTAGAAGAAAGAAGGAAAGCCTTTCAGGTTTGACATCACGAGAGAGAGTAAATGATTATGATTTTTCATATTTGAACAAACTTCACTTTTCAAGAGATTGGTTGAGGCTGGAAGGGCATCCGCTGCGTAAAACATATGCGGAATAAGTTGGCGGTTCATTCTGCTGTGGCGACCCCGGATTAATAAAGGCACTAAGCCGAAAAGAAAATGAATGAATGAACAGACTTCACTTTTAAGTTTGCAGCAGAGACAGATGGATATTCTTTCAACAGCACTTCTGGGAGGAACATAAACAGCTTAAAGTTTTTGTTCTTGTGTGCTGATTTACAGCCATACAAAAACACAGATGAGCCTCGGCTGTGCACTTCCACTAACACTAGGGGACACTAAAGGGGAGAGAAAAACATCCAGAAATATGGAAGCAAAGTGGAAACATTCCCATCCAGATGGTTAAAGGTCTCGTACTGAGCTCGGTCACTCATTCTTGCTAATTACTAATCACAGATTACACCAGTTTGAGATCTAAATCATGACATCTTCCTTTTGGCTGGGATTTGCAGTGCAGAAATGTGTTCAGACGTGAATGTGTTCAGCTTTAAGGTCCTGATTGGTTTCGCACTTGTTTCTTTTAGCTCGCTAACGGTTGAGGAATCAGCATACAGTATTTATAGACAGAAGTACAACATGCTTTCTCACACAGACACACATACACACACTCACACACACACACTCACTTACAGAAAATGATCTGGAATATTTATGATTTTTTTTTTAATATGCTTTTTTTGAAAGCAGCAAAAAGAGCTATGCTCACCAAAGGTGCGAATATTGATTAAAAATGCAACAATATTATGAAATATTATTACTATTTAAATTAACAGTTTTGTAGTTAAACCAATTTTAAAATGTAGTTTCTTTTTGTGATGCAAAGCTGAATTTTCAGCTTCGTTGCTTCAGTCTTTGTCACATGATCCTTTTAAATCATTCTAATATGATGATTTGATAAACATTTATTATTATTATTATTATTATTACTACTATTTACTTGAAAATGAAAAGTTGTTGCTTAATCTTTTGGAAGGCATCGCACTACCATCGGAAGGTTTGAAAGTTTAACTTTTTATGATTTAGATATTCATCATATTATAGATGTTTTTAATTTCACAAAAGATTAATTTTCCAAAATAAATGCTGGTCTTTGGTCTTTTCTATTAAGTGTCTAGCCGTTTCCTTATTTTTAAAAATGATTTTGGTTTTAAAATAAAATCAGTTTGCCATTTGATTTTGTAATTAGGTCCAGAAAACTTTTTGAGGTTTGCATTCAGCAACATATATAGTTATCTGTGATTTCTTAATAATCATGTGGCACAAAATAAGTATTTATGCAATAAACAGTCAGTTTATTATCAGGCCTGTCATGATAGGAAATTTTGGATATATTGTCACAGAAATTGTTGCGATAATCAGCATTATTGTGACTTTGAGATCGTTTTTTGCCACTGATTATATAATGATTATATAGTAGCATAATAATGCAATAGCCATAAAAACTTCTCGCTCTTAAGGTTATTTAGATTCTATTGTTTGATGTTCAATAGGTAAATGCCCTATTATATTTACTATTAAATGTCCTATTAGGTAAATGCCCAATTATAAACTTTGACACCAGTGAAGTAGAACGTAAACGTCCTTGTAAAATGGCTTTAACGTTATTTGTGAATTCGTAAATATATATTGCAATGGCAAAAAATGAGGTGACCTCCAAGTATTGGACGATAAGTCAATTATAGGCAACATAGGCCCATTCTGGAAATGTAACCCTATATACATTTCTGGAGATCGCTAATTATGTAGCCAGAGCTACATATAGCTGCATTTTGTCTTTAAAACGAACGCTACGAGGCAGTATGAGTTAGAGACCGCCGAAGAACGGTTTCAGAAAGCAGGTAAGACAAAAACAAAAGCCAAAAAATAAAATAAACATGTAAATAACAGCGCGATTATGTGGTAAAATCTGAAAACGTGGTAAAAGAGGGGCTTTTCTTATTCTGGATTGCTTTTCAAAACACTGTCAGTTGGTTTTAGGGAACTGGGTGGACCCTGGTCAATTGATGCTTTTTAAAACACTATCGTTTGGGTTAGGGAGTGGGGTGGGTGGGGGTATTAGTCAACAGCGACCTCAGCGGTGGTGGTGGATTTACAGTGGCCTCAGCGTTGGTGGTGGATTTATGCGGGAAGAGTAGGTGCGAATGGCACTCTCGAGAGACGTTTGAGATCTCAAAATGCATACACAGCAGCTTCTGGTGGATTTGCAAAAACAAAAACTGCAAAAAAAACATACCTCCTGGAATGTATTTGGTGCTCTCCAGAAATGTATATAGGGGTACGGGTATAATGGGAGTTAATAAATATACTAAATTAGCAAAACTCTACTTACTATTGTTGAGTCATGGCCTGAGGAGAGTACGCTAATGTACTTCTCCACCACGTTGTTACCATGTTATTTTTACAACATTTCACAATATTACTCTTTTCTGCATCCTTGATTAAATAAATGCAGCTTTGATAATCTAAAAAACTTTCAAAAATGTATTTTAAAAAATCATAAATATTCCAACTTTTTATCCGATCGTGTGTTACAACATCTGCAGAGTTCAGCGAAGTTCTATACAACAGGAAGACGAGCAGAAAACTAATAGATAACGTCACTCTTTCAAAAGTGGTCCAAACAAAAAAAAAACATACACAGCAGCAAACAGCTTAAGCATACAACATATCCGCCCAATACTGAGGGTAAAGGCAAAAGTCATTAGCATATATTTCACACAGTCTACACAATGTACACAAGCCCTGGAAATCTTGTCCATGCCATTAAACCGGCTCAGAAACCAGCTAATGCGTGTGAGCTCATAATCAAAATCTCTGTCTCTACCCATAGTTGACCAGGAGACGATTATAAAAGAAGCAGCGGCTACAGCATACAGATTTCCCTTTAAAAAAATGTCCAAGTAGACCTGTGAGAAACACATTTGTAGGTGTAACGGTGTATATAAGTGTGTGTGTGTATATATATCTATCCATATATAGGGAGAGAATTGTCAAACATCACCGCAGACAGTCCTGAGGTATGTTTCTGAGCCCTCGTTTCGTCCTTTAGAGCAAATAAATTAATAATAATAAAAACAAAGACAATGGCTAGGGGAAGGACTGATTGGTGCATCCATCATATCAGGAGCTTTTCGATTTGTTTTAGCCACGCCCATGGCTCCGCCTGTGATTCATAAAGTGGGCGTGGCTAATAAGCAGCAGCGGAAAAGTGAACCATTGATGCGTGGATGGCGTTCAAGTTGAAGGATTCGGAGCGGCAGAGGCAGCGTTGGTGTTCAGACCACGATCACCACTGTTGGCACCTGAAATGGTAAAGAGAAATGTATTTTAGGATCTTGCGTCACTTCACTGAAAAAAAGGCTGGTCATCCTTGAATTTTAAAAAGCTGATTATTTATGAGGAACGAAATTAATATGTAGTTCTCTAAATTGATTTCTAATGTCGGTAAATGTGACATGATTACTTGATTGAGGAGCTCAGCTGCAAGCAATCATAAGCACGTGATCCTCCTGAAATTAGTTAATAAATAAACTCCGCAAATCGAGTCTTCAAATCACTAGATATATTATGTACGTGGTATACTTCTCTATTATTCTTTCTCTCTATTTATTTACAGTTGTTAAATCTGCCATCTTCTATTGATTTTACATTTAGATTTTATCTCTAAAGAGTTTTTGACCGGTCAGAAATATAATGAAATGAAAAAATACAACAAAACGAAACAAACATCCAAACTGTCGTCTGTGGCATTGCCGTTGTTTGTTGCATTAGTGTTGTTATACCTGACCATGTCATATAGTCTATAACACACTCACAGTGTTATTTCCTTCATTTTGAGAGGAGTGAAATTTACATATGTGGTTTCTACAACTAGACGCGTTTAGAATTCATCTGGAATGCGTCCCAGACCACCTCATGCATTCCCGAGGTCATTTACTTCAGCATTTCTCATGATTGGATTTGCTTTCTGATCAGAAATAACACATGAAGTGGCCAGGTGTAAACAGCCCATTAGAGGCTGAAAGTGAAAATAACGAACCTGTTGCGGCTGAGGCAGACTGGGTAGAGTTTTCGGCCTGGTTCTGAGCATGTGCAGGGATCAGTACAGACGCCAGCGAGGGGTTATTGGACAACTCTAATGAATAAATGCAAAAGACATTAGTGTAAAAGACAACTTCCCAAGTGCAAATGCATTTATATTAATGTTCAACGTATCCTCTAAGGACACATTAAAGCGATAGTTCACCCAAAAATGTAAATTAATTACCCTGCAATCTACTCACCCTCAAGCCATCCACAGTGTATACAGTTTTCTTCTGTCGGGCAAACACATTTTAAATAGTTTAATTTTTTCCTTCCTGACCAATGCTGTTGGGTAAAGCTTCCAAAATCACATAAATCCGTCTTCAAGTAAACCCATACACCACCCATGGCTCACGTATGTCTTATAAAGTGGATCGATGTGTTTTTGTGACAAAAATATTTTCATTTTTTAATAAAGCATGACGTACGACACAAGACTCAATATTAGCAGAAGCTCCAGAAAGAGACGCATCCAGCAGGAACCTCTTACCACACAGTTTGTTCACCACAGAAGATGACTAGGAACAAGAAAAGTAGTTGGCTTGGTGTTACTGTACAGCGTTATACAGCATCTTACTCTTACACTTACGTTACGAATGCATTTTATCTCATGTAGTCGCCGGAAATAAGTGATTTGAGTTTATAATTAAAGAATGTAAAATATTTATGGTAACACTTTAGGTCACAATTCACGGTATAAACAAACCATAAACTAACACTAGTAACTTAATAAACTACTAGTTAGCTGTTTATTAATAGTTAGTGAGGTAGAAGTTGGGTTTAGGTTTTGGGTAGGATTAGGGATGCAAAATAAGATCATACTTTATAACTACTAACCCAACAAACCCACAACGTTGCCTCAATGTAGCGACTTTCCTACAACGTTGTACCAACCTTGTAAAAAGGTTGAGGATCTACGTTGTGGCTAAAGGTTATCATAACGGTGTCATAATCTTTCCATTTAAATGGTCGTTGCTTTAGGTTGTGCTTAGGTGGCATGGACAACCACTGTACAACCTTTACTCGTCATCAGTGAATCAGTTTAAATTTTTAACAGAGCGTTTGGCGTCTCATTCAGCAACGACCGAGGAGACGTGAGTTTTGCTTTATTTCTTCCTGATAAATAAGTCATCAGTGGTCATTTGTGTAGTCCTGTTGTGTCAAGCTCTGATTTGTCCTCTTGTTCACTGCCTATTTGGACTTGTGGATCCATCTCTGAACTGGATTCTCTGTTGGATTTCTTTCTCTGATTGCTTTCTCTGTACCAACAACTACACCTTGTCTTCGGCTGCGCTCCCTGGTTTTCGGTATTCTCCAGTCCACAGCTTCGATGCCCAGTGTCTGCATTTTAATTTGTTTTCTTGTTTACTTTTCTTGTTTGTTTAATATACTGTCGACTGACATTTTAATTAAGCCTAATTAAATATAGTTAACTATTTGATATAATCTAAACATTTTATACTGTTTGCTTATAATTAGATGTGTACTGTACGTATTAACTGTGAAATATATAATAAAAATGTTAGATTATATCCATTTGTGTGGCATTTTTACACTTAAAAGTTTATAAATGCAGTTATTTTATTGAAACGGAAATATGAATGAATATTTAATATTAAGCAATACTAGAAAACTGCTTATTCATGTTCTAGGCAGTATTTATAAGTTGCCAGGAAAAAAAGCATTAATACATGTAGTAAAAACATCGTCTCACGGTTGCTGAATGTCACACAACAACGTTGCTACAGCCTTCTCACGTCTTACATTTCTACGTTGTGACAATGTAGCGAGCACGTAAGCTGCGAACTTGCCTTTGAAAAAAAATGCAACATTGTACAGACATCGCTACATTGTAGATGTGTTTGTTGGGAATGAACAGTTAAAATCTTAATAATAGCATGAATTGTGACCTAAACTACAGTGTTTAAAGTGTTGCCATATTTTTTTTGACAAAAACACATTAATTCGCTTCAAAAGATGTCTGTTAACCCCCTGGTGGTGTATTGGTTAGTCTGACAACAGATTTATGTGCTTTTGGAAACTTCAAAATAAAAACCAATAGACAGCAGCATGGAAGAGCCAGAATAAAATTTAAAACCACTCAGAGTGTTCATCTGACAGAAGAATCTCATACGCACTGAGGAAATACAGCTGAAGTCAGAAATATTAGCCCTTTGATTTTTTTTTTCTTTTTTAAATATTTCCCGAATTATGTTTACTAGAGCAAGGAAATTTTCACAGTATGTCTGATAATATTTTTTCTTCTGGAGAAAGTCTTACTTGTTTTGGCTAGAATAAAAGCAGTTTTTAATTTTTTAAAACAATTTTAAGGACAAAATTATTAGCCCCTTTAAGCTAACTTTTGTCACAATAGTCTAAAGAATGAACCATCATTATACAATAACTTGCCTAATTACCCTAACCTGCCTAGTTAACCTAATTAACCTAGTTAAGCCTTTAAATGTCACTTTAAGCTGTATAGAAGTGTCTTGAAAAATATGTAGTCAAATATTATTTACTGTCATCATGGCAAAGATTAAATAAATCAGTTATTAGAAATGAGTTATTAAAACTATTATGTTTATAACTGTGTTGACAAAATCTGCTCTCTGTTAAACAAAAATTAGGGAAAAAATTAAACGGGGCTAATAATTCTGACTTCAACTGTATATACTTGAGGGTGTGTAAACTATGGGGTAATATTATTTTTTGGGTAAACTATTCATTTAACCAACATGTGCTTCTTCGTTTTAAAATGTTGCGTAATTTCTCAGCAAAGGTTCTGTCCCAGTGAAGCCATATGATGCCTCAAAAAATGAACCTAGCTGTAGTAGTGGAGCTTCTGTGTATTTGTGTGCAGCATTCACCCTGTGTGGTGAAATTAAACAGCACAGGCCGTTCTCTTCCATTGGGGAGCTTGAGGTTTGGCTCACGGAGCTCGTCGAAGAAAGTGTGAGCGCAGGCTTCCAGAGGAGTTAGACGGGCTGTAGGAGTATACTCCAACAATCGCGAACACAGAGCGATCGCCTCCGGAGGGGTCCGGGGCCGGAAAACCTGACACACACAACAACACAGGCCTTTTATTGCTCTATACAAACATTTGTATGGACAGTTAGTCTTTTTTTTTGTTCCTTCTATGGATGTCAATGGCTGCTTTTTTCTAAAATTCTTCAGAATATCTTGTTTAGAAGAAGGAAATTCAAGTTTAGAACTATTACAGTGTGAGTTTCTATCATTCGTTTCTCATGTGATACTTCAAAATGTTCATTAACACAGGGTGATGGAAACCTGACTAGCAGTAAAATATGGTTTAATTGTGCAAAACATTTCCAAGACTGCAAAAAGGAGCTTTGCACAAGAAAAGTATGCAAAACCAAACAATCAGTCCAAGTAACTGAAAAGATATTTGAAAAAAGATTAATAGCCTTTATTAACATTATTAATTATTAACAAAAATATAACACTATTATATTAAAAAGAGCACTCGTGTGCACCTATGCGGTTCAGCACTGTAAAAAATGCATGCTGCAAAAATCTATTTGATTCATTCATACATTTTCTTTTCGGCTTAGTCCCTTTTTTAATCTAAGGTCACCATAGCGGAATGAATTACCAACTTATCCAGCATATGTTTAACACAGGGGATGCCCTTCCAGCTGCAACCCATCTCTGGGAAACATTCACACACATACACTACGGCCAATTTAGCCTACCCAATTCACCAATAGTGCATGTCTTTGGACTGTGGGTGAAACCGAAGCACCCGTAGGAAACCCTTGTGAACACCGGGAGAACTTGCAAACTCCACACAGAAATGTCAACCGACCCATCCAAGGCTCGAACCAGCAACTTTCTTGCTGTGAGGTGAACGTGCTACCCACTGCGCCACCGTGACGCCCTGTTAACTCATTAGTTTTTACAAATTTAAGTGGATTGAATATAAAACAATTGAGTTATCCCCACCAAAAAACTCAAGAATTTTGTTTTTCAGCTCATTTTAAATAAACAGTTTGAACAAACAGCAAACTTATTTTTTTGAGTGCTGTTTTTAATATATTAGTACATGTTAAACATGTTAAAAGCTTTTTAACTTTTCGAGTGCCTGATTATTTCAAGGACTGATTATTTAGTTTTACACACTTTAAAAGTTAGTTTGACTGAATTGAGTTTTGGATTTTGGAGCACTCAAATTACCACAAATAGAAAGGGTTTCAAGAAAAAAAGTCTCTTATCCAAAAACATCTTAAGCGACTGATATTTCTGGTTGTATTTCAAGCAAAAGATCAAGGCCTTTTGAAGAAAGTATTTCTTTCACAGCATTTATCGCTCATATATTACTTGAGGGCACTGAATACAATTTTGACATTGAAAAATGACATTCATTGTTTAGATCTAATAAAATTAGTTATAAATAAATCCTAAGAGATCAATTAAAGTTATGGGAAATAGCAATATCATCTTTAGAATAGTTCATACGATCACATTTTTAACAGGAAAGATGTAAGCACAGCAATATAGAAAAACAAAACACTGAAGCATATGGAAACACTCATGCTAACCTTCGTCCATGGGTGCGCCTTGATCTGTGGAAACTTGAATTCAGTGTAATTTGGATTCATCTCCCGAATCTGCTCTCGTGTAGGAGTTCCCAGCACCTGGAGAAAAGACGTTTATTATTCTGTTATAGTTTCAATATATTGTTCACATTTCTGCTATAGTTATACTAAGAGGGCAGCACAATGTCTCAGGGGTTACACTGTCGCCTCTCAGCAAGACGGTCAGTGGTCCAAGTCGTGGCTGGGTCAGTTGGCACTTCTGTGTAAAGTTTGCATGTTCTCCCCATCTTGGCGTGGGTTTTCCACAGTCCAAAGACATGCGCTATAGGTGAATTGGGTAAGCTAGTAAATTGTCTGTAGTGTATCTGTGTGAATGAGTGTGTATGGATGTTTCCCAGTGATGGATTACTGCTGGAAGGGCATCTTCTGTGTAAAACATGTGCTGGATAAGTTAGCGGTTCATTCCGCTGTGGCGATCCCAGATTAATAAAAGGACTAAGTTGAAAAGAAAATGAAAGAATGAGTAAAATGTCTAAAAACTTAAAATAAATAAATTTTTTTATATATATATATATATTTTTTTTATTATTAGAGCATTTTTTAAAATGTTTATTTTAAATTTTGAAAAAGTAATCAGTAGTTCACAGAATACAAAAAAAACTTTACTTAATTGCAAATCTATAAATTGTAAATTAAAATAAATTGAGAATTTTCGTTTGGTCTCATTTTTTTATAGTTGTAGAGGCTCGTGTAGCTACTCTGATAGTAATTTTAGTATTATATTATATTTTCAGTTTACTTTTTCGTTTATTTTTTTTTTCTAAGATCCAATAATAAAAATGCACGATAAAAAGTATTTTTATGCTATAACTTTTTTTATTTAATTTTATTCAATTTAAGCTTAGTTTTATTATTTTAAAACTACTTAATCTTAATTAATTTTATTCTTTTTCTTTTCGGCTTAGTCCCTATATTAATCAGGGGTCGCCACAGCGGAATGAACCGCCAACTTAACCACCATATTTTTTATGCAGCGGATGCCCTTCAAGCTGCAACCCATCATTGGGAAGCACCCATACACTATCATTCACACACATACACTACAGACAATTTAGCTTACCCAATTCACCTATGCCAACTGACGCAGTTGAGGCTCGAACCAGCAGCCATCTTGCTGTGAGGCGATCGTGCCACTCACTGCGCCACCGTGACGCCCTTTTATTAATTTTTAATTAATTGTAATTATTTTATTTTATAACAATTTTTATTATTTCCACTACAATAATACAATTTAATAATACACTACATAAGATCTTTAATAAGTGCACTGAGGATTCTATTGTAAAAAAAAAATCATCAAATATCTGCATTTTGCATTACTCAAACAATAAAAAAGGGCAATGTGATTAAACAGAAACAGTTTAGCAGTAACACTAGTCGAAATCATCAAAACACATAATAAACACACAATACACATACAATCTCTTCCATTACCTTAATGATCTCAACAAGCTGATCGACACCGCTGTCACCAGGAAAAATGGGCTGTCCAAGCAGCAGCTCGGCCAATACACAACCAGCTGACCAAATATCTGCAAGAAAACAAAGATGAAAGCTGAATATTACAGCAGATTAGGAGATTAATGACACAAATCAATCATATTTAATATGAATAAAGCATTGAGACGATGAAGAGAAAATTCTAAATTGATACAATGTCGCTTGATGATGATGGTTTAACCACGTAAATATGTAAATTAAAGTATTTTAAGTCACTTATCACGTAATATAACCTAAGCAAAAGAAATAACATCACCAAAGATGCATTAAACTTGTCTAAACTAACATACTCCATTTATATAAGTTGATATTTAACTGCACCATTTTCGTGTTTTGTAACATCTTGATTTTTTATGAGGTGGTTTGTTAGCCCAACACTCAACCCCCAAACTGGAGAACCAGAACATACACTACAGACAATTTAGCTTACCCAATTCACCTACAGCACATGTCTTTGGACTGTGGGGGAACCCGGAGCACCCGGAGGAAACCCACACCAATAATGGGAGAACATGCAAACTCCACACAGAAATGCGAACTGACCCAGCCGGCGCTCAAACCAGCAACCTTCTTGCTGTGAAGCGAGAGCACTACCTATCTAAACTAACTCTTCTTAAATTCTGTCTATCAGAAAATCTAGAAAAAAATGCATTCGTTTTTCCACTGTAAATCATATGCTAGAATAGTTGACGGTTCATTCTGCTGTGGCGACCCCTGATAAATCAGAAACTAAGCTGAATGAAAATGAATGAATGGGTTAATATGAAAACATCTATGCTGGCAGCCTACAGTCGTCAGAATTGAGTACCTATGCTGGAAGTGTAGTCAGTGGCTCCGAAAATGAGTTCAGGGGCCCTGTAGTACCGCGAGCAGATGTAGGAGACATTAGGCTCTCCACGCACCAGCTGCTTTGCACTGTAGGAAACAGAAGAAAAAAAACGCAAGAGAATTAGATATACGTAACCAGAAATTACACCAACACAGATCTACTGTACATGAAAACAGCCATTATCACATTAACACATTACCATCATCTCAACAATTATCACTATCAGGAAAACACTGCAACTATATCCAAAATGCCTGTCAACTGCAGAGGAACAAAACTTAAATTAAGTCATCAATTTTGAAATGAAATGAATATTCAATATCAAATGTAAATTTTCTGGGTGCTGTTAATGTAAGATTGTTACAAACCCCTGATGTTAGTCTAGGGTGTGGGGTTTGACATTTGATTAATTAAAATATATTTAAAAAACAGTGAATGAGTGCAAAAGACAACCAAAGTAATGCCAAAAATATGTGCTTTTATTTACAATTCCCAAAAGTGAACAACCACAATGAATTAATCAAAAATAAAGAAAAAGTAATTAAGGCAAAAATATACTATTTACAATATTTACAACACTGAGACAAATAAAGACAGGAAAAAAACAAGAGAGCTCGCAGAAGGGACGTGGGCGGCGCTAAAGAAATGAAAAGAACAAAACCCAAACTAAATCTAACTCCCCAGAAGCATCTAGCTAACTAACTATGTGAAAAAAGTATAATTAACTTGCTGAGATCTTCCGAGTCCAAACTATCTACTCTATCTAGCTATCCAAAAAGTACAAGGAGTGGCGCTCGCCCCTAACCTAGTGTACTAAACAGCAGAGTCGTCCTAAGTGTTGCAATGTATATCACGTGACCTTCTTACCTGTCCGCTTCGTCCAAGCCTCGTAAACAACGTAAACTAAAAATGATGTACGAATATTGGATGGATAACGTGCACACAGAAACGGGCAACAACAAAATACACAGTTAGACAGGGTTATTTCTAAACGCACGCGATAACTACAAACAAGCGACAAAAGCAGAGAAAGAGAAAAATGCAAAGGAAGGGACTAGCGAGTGGTCTGGCGCGCTTTTAACACGGGTGGTCTTTCCTTATTGGATGTGACGTAAGAGTGACGAAACCGGGGAGGAATGACTGACAACTGAATGGACCAATGAACGGAACCTGAGAGTCCATGAAAGCAGATATGGGAGAACAGAGCGAGAGAGAGAGAAAAAAAACAGAGAAACAGAGCACAAATAACACGAATACATAACAAAGATCTTTATTTGCTGTTTTCTAAACCAATCAGTTGCATCTTGGGATGCTTTCTTAAAATTCTTTTACTATCTGTTTGGCTATCAGCAAGTTTTAACAAGTGGAAAATAAGTAAATGATCTTCTTTTATGTGTGAGCTGTCCCTTTATGATCATAAGAATTAATACTGAACTTCAGGCAACTTTGCAAGGTTTTAATCACAATCTGGAAATAACCCAGTTCTGTTAACTTTACAGCATGCATGAAAGCACCTCATTTCCCCATCTCACCTTCCGAAATCACAGAGTTTAAGTACAGCTGTCTCGGGGTCCAGCAGGAGGTTCTGCGGCTTGATGTCTCGATGGCAGATCCCATATGAATGGATGTACGCCAAACTGCGGAACAGCTGATACATATACAGCTGAAAACACACAAAAACAGTGACTTTTAGGGTCCAGTGTTCATTCTGCTAGCTCACGATGTTATTCTTTGTGAGGGAGCTCAATTTTGTGTTGCTAATTCAGTCAGAGCGCCACAAAAGGTCACTCATGTTGTTATTCTTAAGGTGAATATAAATCCGCCAAATCCAATCCACTGAAAATGTTTGTTTGTTTTGGTAATCTTCATTCAAAGTCTGAGCATTTACTTCCGCGTTTGGAGTGGCCATCCATCTGTTGACGTTCTGAAACCTGAGGGCTTCAATAGCAAATGTTTATTAATACCCTGGCTAACCATTAGTTTGCTATGAGGGAATGATGCAAAAAAGAAAGCTCCACCTCCTATTTAAAATTCCAGTTCAGTAGTACATCAACATACTGAAATAAAAGTTTCGGCAACTTCATGCAGACTTTAAAACAGCAGAATTTGCTAACTGAGATCTTTAAAATTGTCTATTCATTGTGGTGTAACTGTACACAAAAACATGGTTTGAAATTCTGGCTTGGTATCATTTTGGTAATGGAAAATGCATTAATAATATAGTAATATATTTTTATTTGCTGAACAAATTGTGGCTTGTTCTAAGGACAATAAAAATCTATCTCAGCTAATGCTGTAAACCAGTGGTTCCCAACCTTTTCCCCCGAAAAATATTGTAAGGCCCCCCCAACATTTAATGATATTATCGCTCATATAAGTTTGCAGTAAGGATGACAAATTTTTTTTTTTAAACAAATTGTATGTTTATTACTATATCTAGATATGTTTATGCACAAATAATAGCCAAATGTAAGACATGAAATAAAAAGATCAGTTGGCCATTTGTAAATGAAAACGTAAGCCTTTGGCCTTTGAATTAGCCCTATATTAGTTGACAATTAGTTGAAAAAAGTTTCTTGTCATTAGCTGTGGGGTCCCTCATCTCATTTTAAGTGTGTGTCAATTCTTTTGCCTTGCACTCAAAAAATGCTCTGGACTTGTCGTGGTATTCGGGGATGAGTTGTTTGCAAATGTCTTATTAATTCGGCCTAATGCATTCCTTAGCAAGCACTTTGGTGCAAATAACGCGCTGTGGCTGGGTCAGGGACGCTTTGCTTCAAGAAAATGGAATACAACCATAGTTCAGGTAACTATCTTGGTATTTCCTTCATTTAGTGTTTCAAGTATTGCTAGAGCTGCAACCCGAAATGTTTGGAGCATCCTCACCTGGGTCCAGTATGCTTGGGTCAGTAGTATTAGGTGCTGAAGGCAAATCAGTGAGACTCATTTTTTGTGGAGGAAATTTGTCAATTTTTTTGATCAGCCAGGGTATAAAATGAACTAAGGCAACATGATCATTCTCCTGATTGTCCACTGCTAAAAATGTGTAAAAATGTGACAGAGACCCCCTTGTGGGCCGGGAACCCTTGTTGGGAATCACGGCTGTAAACTACATAGAAAGGCAAAACAATTGTACGTTAAGTTGTACATTTTGCTGTTTATTTTTTAGATGTATTCACAGGAATGATTTTGTTTATTGGAACTTTCACATAATCCAAATTTTATTTTAATGAATAAATATAAAACGAATGATGTTTTGACTCCAATTCAATGAAGAAATATAATTTGCAGGTTTTCGTGACAAAATTAAATATACATTAAATAATTAAATGAACTTACTTAAATAAACTTACTTAATAAGGTAAGTACTTAGTAAAGTAAAGTACTTAATAAACCTAAATTGACTACTCTCAAAACATATGCCATTATTTGCTTCAATTCTTGTGTTCTGCTGTGAAAATACATAAATACTGAACAATATACTATGCTTCTGACCGGCTTTACTGACTGTTTTGCAGCTTTATTCAATGAGAAAGACCATCGCCAAACTCATTACAAATCAAAATAATGTGTTGTCATTAAGTGATTTTACCTTCACATAAACCATGGGCAGATTCTGCTTGGCTTTGCTGTAGTGTCTGGCCACTCTGTACACGTTCTCAGGCACGTAATCCATCACCAAATTCAGGTACACCTCATCCTTCTGTGGGCACAAAGAGATTAATAAAAGAGTTTAGCAGTTTGATATTTGCAAAACATCTTTAGATTGTTCACAGGTTACAAGCAGTCTTACTTAAAATGGGTTTTGGGTGGATTTTAAATATACCAAAAGCTTGTTTATGCAACAGTTCTGCCTGGTTCTCGAATCTGATTGAATTTTTAAAATAATAACAGCACTCGTACAGCCTCTTCACCTTTTGTATTACTTTCTCCAGAAAAAAAAATTATCAGACATACTGTGAACATTTCCTTTCTCTGTTAAACATCATTTGAGAAATATTTAAAAAAGAAAAATAATTAAAAAGGAGGTTAATTATTCTTACTTCAACTGTGTTTGTGTGTTTGTGTGTGTGTGTGTGTGTGTGTGTGTGTGTATATATATATATATGCAACCTAAAATGACTTTTTTAAGGATGGCTTTTCTCAAAACTTATGGCAATATTTGTTTCAAATCTTAAGATTTAAACAATTATCGATGTAATATATTAGATTTTAAGATATATATTAAATTTAAAATATATATTTTAAATGACAATACTATTCCACAATATTATTCATCTTATTGCTTGTTTGATCCAATAAATGCCTCCTTGGTGAGCAGAAGAGTCTTAAAAACATGAAAACATACCGACCCCAAACTAATGAATCATCCTGTAATATTACCATACTGTTCTTGCATTCACTCCTTAAACAGCATTTATTCTAATCCCATATTCAATGGGACATTAACAAGAAGATCTCAGCGGTGGTCCTTCTAGGGAGAAAAGGGGGTCTAAGACTTATCACACACAGCCTATTTGAACAGTCATTATTTCTCTCTCTGTGTTTTCCCCCTTAGAGACATTACCTCCTTAATGTGGCTGGAAAAATTAACCTTCCAAAGGCACCGAGCCAAGTCCTGCTTCACAACAGTGACATCAGCTCTGCACGTGTGTTGTGATTGGCTGGATGTTTTCTGAGGTCAGCTGTGATTGGCTGTTCAGGCACACACTCAAATGCTTAGATAAAAGAGGATGCTAAATGACAAGTATCATATTAATATCACGGCTTTGCTCTTGTTGATTTTTTCAGTGGTAATTAGTACCTTTAAAAGATTCCTTGTGACTAATTGTGTACAAAATAAAGGTTTGTATTTACACTATATGTGCACTGTGTATATTTATTTATATATTTACCCTGCTGAATGAACCCTGGAAAATGACCAGCTAAAACCAGCTTGACCAGCCTGGTTTAAGCTGGACATAGCTGGTTTTGGCTGGTCTCCCAGCCTGGCTAGGCTGGTCAGATTGGTTTTAGTTGGTTATCTCCCAGCCTGTCCAACTAAAACCAGACTGGAAATGGCTGGAAACCAGCCTGGAAATGGCCAAAAACCCTCTAAAACCAGCCTGGTCAACCAGCTAAAGCCAGCCAACCAGCCTAGGCTGGTTTAGGCTGTTTTTTTCAGTAGGGTACCACACATATACATGCTTAACCTTTTAAAATATTTACATATATATTGATATTTATGTATGTTGTTATATAGATATAATTGCTATATATATATATATATATATATATATATATATATATATATATATATATATATATATATAAAACAATTATATTTATATAACGACATTATGTTTAAATAACAACATTAATATAACAACATTCATGGAGAATGTTTTATAAATATAATTTATATATAAATATATATATAATAAATATACACAGTACACATGAAATTATGCAAATGCAAGCTTTTATTCTGTGTGATTAGTCAAGATTTATCATGAACAGCAGTACTGTCAGTGAATGAAAACGAGTGTTTAATTGTAACATTTTTAAATATAATAATATTATATAATATAATAGTTTAAAAAACACTAATTTTTGTTTTATTTTTTGTCTTCTGTTTCTGTCTTATATGCTTTCTGGACCTGTTCTTCGCCCAACTCAAACCCTGTTGATGTGCTCAGCTCCTCTCTGCGTCACAAATCCTCTGACGTATGCAGTGAGCCACTGGACAAACTGGTAACAGTGGAAAACCCGTCCATACGGAGGTAAGCGGTCAGCCGGTAAGCACGAAAAGGAAAGCTGTTATACCGCCCCGTAAGGTTCATTTTAAAGATGAAATGCAGGCTCTGGCTACATAATTTGTGATCTTCAGAAATGTTTATAGGGACTACGTTTTTAGAATAAGCCTATGTTGATATTAACACTAGCATATGTACTTTAATACATATTAAAATATGTCCCTGAAATATGCAAATGCAATATATATATAATTATATCAACATTAAGACTAAGATCCCTACTCACTGTTGGCACAGATGTATCACAGTCCAATCAAACAGTATAGTCAAGAAAAGAGCATTGCATTGTGAAATACAACAGCCAGTGCTCGAACACTGCACATTTCAGTAAATGCGGTTGGCCTGTTGCCAGATGCACACTACCGAGTGTAGGTTGCACTTCTGTTCTGGACTCTAAGGTGACATGACAGCTAATATCCACGAACTTTGATTCAACTGCTCCATTGCCAAGCGTGAGTAAAGGAGTATGTAAATGGGTGAGTGCTCTGTCTGGACAGGGTTACATAACTGAACTGATCCTGTTTCTGTGACACCAGGGTAGCCGTCGGGACGAAGTCGCAGCGGTCAGACACTATGTCACCATGCTGGAATGGAGGGTTAAACTGGTGAGGACAGCCCTGTCTGTCCACGAGACTGCATAGATGCTCACTTTACAGGTCGTAAATCATATCTATGCAGACACAGATGTGACACAAATTACAATACTCATACTTACAGTACTCAATCCTCCAATGCAATTTCCTTCAAATTGTGGCTGTATTTATGCTTATAAATAGTGTTTTTTTTTTTTTTTGCATAATAGGGGACCTGTTATGTACAAATTATTGTTATAAGGGGTTTGTGTGCAACAGTGCGTGAATATAGCCAGCCTCTAATGGTAAACAGTAATTAATGCTATTTTGCATATAAAATGTCCAAGATATTGAGGGAAGAGCTATTCTGAACTGTCAATGCTTCATGCAAAGAAAACAGATTAATTATGTTGGCTTGACAAAGCTTTCCTTTTTATTCTGAGATCAAATTCCTACTAGAACTGTGAAGCTACAACCACCAAACTCACACCAGACCTTCAGGCTAATCTGAATATTTATGCTATATCTTTTTTAACAGATCTGACTTACAGTTTTACTTATGCACAAACAAATCTGCGAAAATTCAAATAGACTTTCATTGAGGGGGTGAAAACTTTTAAACAGTAAATGCTAAAGAGCATTTAACCAACATCCACCCCGTTCAATATCTTCAGACCTTCATCAAACTATCTAGCAACCACTGGCAAACCTAGAAGCTACCCTCAAATATGCTAATACATGCTAGAAGCATACAAAATTATCTAAAAAAATATAGAAACATACTAATTCATACTAGAAAAATGAAAAAAACCATCTAAAGCATGATAGAGACATGCTAATTAATGCTAGAAAAGTACAAAATAATCTGAAAAATGATAGCAACATGCTAATTCATGCTAGAAACAAATATTTATGTAAAACATGATAGAAACATGCTAATTCATACTAGAAACTTACAAAAAACATCTAAAAACATGATAGAAACATGCAAATGTATGCTGGAAACATAAATATTTGTCTAAAACATGATACAAGCATGCTAATTTATGCTAGAAACAAAAAACCCATCGAAAAACATCATAGAAACATGCTAATTCATGCTAAAAACATACAAAAAAAATCTTAAAACATGATGGAGACTTGATAATTCATGCTAAAAACATGAAAAACATCTAAAATTATGATAGAAACATGCTAATTCATGCTAGACACATAAAAAACCATCTAAAGCATGATAGAGACATGCAAATTCATGCTAAAAACATACAAAAAAAATCTTAAAACATGATAGAGACATGCTAATTCATGCTAGAAACTTACAAAAAACATCTAAAAACATGATAGAAACATGCAAATGTATGCTAGAAACATGAATATTTATCTAAAACATGATACAAACATGCTAATTTATGCTAGAAACAAAAAACCCATCGAAAAACATCATAGAAACATGCTAATTCATGCTAAAAACATGAAAAAAACATCTAAAACATGATAGAGAAATGCTAATTAATACTAGAAACATAAAAAACATCTAAAATTATGATCGAAACATGCTAATTCATGCTAGACACATAAAAAAACCATCTAAAGCATGATAGAGACATGCTAATTCATGCTAAAAACATACAAAAAAAATCTTAAAACATGATACAAACATGCTACTTCATGCTAGAAACATACAAAAACCATCTAAAACATGATAGAAACATGCTAATTCATGCTAGAAACATACAGAAAACATCAAAAACATGATGGAGACATGCTAATTCATGCTAGAAACATACAAAAAAACATCTAAAACATGATAGAAACATGCTAATTCATGCTAGAAACATACAGAAAACATCAAAAACATGATGGAGACATGCTAATTCATGCTAGAAACATACAAAAAAACATCTAAAACATGATAGAAACATGCTAATTCATGCTAGAAACATACAGAAAACATCAAAAACATGATGGAGACATGCTAATTCATGCTAGAAACATACAAAAAACATCTACAACATGATAGAAACATGCTAATTCATGCCAGAAACATAACAAAATCATCTAAAACATGATAAAGAAGCTAATTCATTCTAGAAACATACAAATCCATCTAGAAACATGTTAATTCATGCTAGAAACAAACATCCATCTTGAAACATAGCAACGTGCTAAATCATTGAAACATGTTAGCAACATGTCAGTTAATACTAGCAGCATGCTAATTCAAGTGGCTTTGTCAACCAACAACAAAGTTCGTCAACATCCAGCTCAAACTATAGTCACACATAGCTAACTCTATACTATTTTAGTGCAAATGTGTCCATTACATGACAGGTTAT